TCTCTCCCTCTCTCTCCCTCTCTCTCCCTCTCTCTACCTCCCTCTCTCCCTCTCTCATTTTTATATTGTTCAAGCTACATTGTCCCTCACATATCAATGCTAAAAATGCTATTTCCAAAATGGCACCAAACAGATTTAGGCATGCCCTAAAAAATAGCAGGTGAGATTGGAAAATCTGAATCTATTTAGTCGGGGAAATAACATTTCATAGTACTGTCATTTAATACAGTATGTCAAGTCCATTATCCTTTTTATTTTTAGCAATCCCCAAAAAAAGAAATAAAACTTGACATTTAGGAGTACCATAATGCAAGGTAAAATTCTTGTCCTGTGCAGTGCTCTAGATGGCAGCAAAGACTAATTCCTAACCTTGGTTGAAGCTGTTCTACACATCCAAACGTTGGCAGTGAATTTTTCTATCCCTTCTTGCACAAGCTGTAAGATGGTACCTGGAAAGTCGTTGTGGCTGTCATACATTATGAAAGTAGCATGTCATGCCTCTTACTGCACTTATTAGAGCTCATGTCTATAAAAAATAATAGATACATAATATGGAAAAAAAGTTGTGTACACCTGTCTGTCACACCTTTATGAGTTTGTTGGATATCCTATTCTAAAACCATGGGCATTAATATGAAGTTGATCCCCCTCTGCAGTTTTAACAGCCTCCCGTGTTCTGGGAAGGCCTAACGTTTTTGGTCTATGGGAATTTGAGCCCATTTAGCTAACAAGAGCATTTATGTGGTCAGGTGCTGTCCTGATGATGGACAAAAGACCTGGCTCACAGTCATCATTTCAGTTCATCCCAAAGGTGTTCAGCAGGGTTGAGATCAGGACTGTGTGCACACCAGTCAAGTTCCTCCTCATCAAACTCCTTAAACCATGTCTTCATGGACCGGGCTTACTGCACCTGAACCATATAATTTAGTGTTTTTTTCATATAATTCAACTTTATAATATAGAATAACTGTTATTGGTATTTAATAGCACCAACAATTTTACGCATTGCACATTCACATTAGTCCCTGCTCTCAAGAAGCTTACAGGTAAACGCTACTAACAATTAATGACGAGAAAATTCTAACACATTTAGCACTACTGCAGGATATTGTTGGAAAAGAGATTGGTCTTAGTATAATATTCTCACTCGGTATACGGGATATGGTAAAACCAAGAATCATCTAAATGAGACATTGATGAGTGGATATTCTCCTGCTCTATTTAAATACAACCAAAAGGAAAGAGAAGACTAATCGCCTGAAGTTTATATTATGCATTAAAATTGCAGTATCATAGGAGATTGATTGCTAAACTGCACTACTGGAAATCTCCTATGTAGCAGCTCACATTAAAACAAAATAAAACAAACAAATAGATCAATCTCATGTGATTTTTATAGTGCAACTAAGCAGCTAAAATTCAGCCATGAAGCACTAACCTAAAGACAATATGGAAAGTGAAGAGGCAGAGTATAAAGCTGGACATAAGCCTACAGATTATATGCAGATTTGCTATGGTCAGATGGAAAAAGTGCAACATATTCCTCCATCTACGCTAAACTGTGTCGATGGAGGAATCTCCCACTGGGCCAAGCTTCAGTATCTTGCTAGTCGGCTGGCTCTCAAAACATCTGAACAATCCGATTGGATGCATTGTTCAGGTGTTTTGAGAGGCAGCGGGGCCCACTAGCAAGCTACTGAAGCTTGGCCCAGTGGGAGATTTCTCCATCCACACAGTTTAGCGTATTTGAAGGAATCTGTTGCACTTTTTCCATCTGACCATAGAAAATCTGCAGATAAACTATAGGTGTATGGCCAGCTTAACTGTGTTATGATAGATAGATAGATAGATAGATAGATAGATAGATAGATAGATAGATAGATAAAATAAATACTACTTTGAACATAAAACATTTTTAATTTCTGCCAACTTTTGATAACAAAATACAAATTTGCAGCCTTTGAAAGAGTTGAGAACACATATGAACTCTTGAAAATTGCTTATAATTCTATTTGTGAGTCCAATCATATAAAGATTAGGATTGAAACATATATCAATGGAAATACTATATAGCATTCCAAATAAATTTCAGCAATAGTAGTAAATCTTAAGCCTGTACAGTGACCTATTAATTGTATTATGAACTTCAAAGGTGTAAATGCATTAAAATACAAAACTCTAATGATTTTGGGGCATGCATACTTGTTCATAATAAATAGAGTCATGCTGTAATTAAGAGCAATGTCTTTCATTACACAGCACATACTGGTTTTCCTTGAAGACGTATATTCCCTATGCCCTTCACCTGCTTACTGACAAGTAATGACTGCATGATCATGTCTATAATATACTTTATTAAAACTTGTACAATATGTTGGGTATAAGCGAAAGAAAAATAACAGACCATCACTTTCTGCTTTAAGGGTGCTTTGCTCTGTTTTAAAGGTTTTTTGCTTTTTTTAAAAAAATTGTGGATAGATGTTGGAAGAACAAATACTATTGCCAAGATTTTATTGCGATGACCCTGTTGGGAAGATGTAATGATTAACACTACAGTGAAAAACAAAACAAAAAAGATAAAACTTTCTTCCCTATCCAAATCTTGGTT